ATTTGGGAACTTGTCTATGCAGAGATACTCAAAAAAAGGGAAGCAATACTTAAATAAGACCTAGATGCAATGGACAAGATTTTTTTGAGTCGAAATGCCCAAACATGTCCAGTGTAGCAAAATGATTTGTAGAAAGTAGCAGCACAAGTACTCCAAAAGTATGTTTAACCAAATCTGTCTTCCTTACCAATTTTTTTGACCTTGTATTCATGAATAACCAACCACGTTTTCATGAAAGGAAAAGCACAGACCTCTGGCATAGAAACCACAAAAGTGGTGGGCTAATTCAGAGGCTGAGTTGCCCTGTGAATTCAGGTGAGAGGGGTGTATTTTTAAAAGCAGTAACTGTCTGAGCAGCTGTACACAAAAGTGAGCAATCGTGCTGGTCTGATTAGGAGAGTAACCATGCCTAAAAGTCATGATGTTTGGTATGGTAGATCCAAAATGCATAATAACTGTATTCTCTAGTTTCTCCAATGATTTTTCACATCAGATAAGGGACAGGAAGCAGATCTTAGCAGCCCGCAAATCCATTGGAATTCTAAGGAAAAAAGATGGTAAATACCTATATAGTCAAAAGCCATTTCTCCTTTCAAGCTTATTTTTCCTGCTGAAGAAAAAAAGAAAGAACATTACCTAAGGTTCTTTGAAATTGCCTCAGCATACCCTATCTTCCATTGTCTTCAAAATCCTAATTAAACTTTGAAACAGAAAGATGGGGACTGAGGCAACACTTTTATAAAATAGCCCTCAGAAAATGTTGGTTTATAGGGCAGAAGCAGGGCAAGGGATTATGTGAGCTTTCAATTGATCTCTCTAAGGAAAGAGCTGCAATTGCACAACTTCTGTGTATGAATTTACAGTAAGTCTCAAATACATATATAGCCATGTGACTAAAATTTAAGATGTTTGCTTTCTCAGCTTTTTGATGGCAAAGGTGCCAAGGCACTAAATATCAAGTGGCTGAGAGCCCAGATTGGTATCGTCTCACAAGAGCCAATCCTGTTTGATTGCACTATCGCTGAAAACATCGCGTATGGAGATAACAGTCGTCAGGTGCCATTTGAGGAAATTGTTAATGCAGCAAAAGAAGCCAATATTCATACCTTCATTGACTCTCTGCCAGATGTAAGTTATTCCTTTTCTCTCCCACTTGGAACTGGAAGTGACCTAAAGTGGCAGGGAAAAATTGTGTCTGCTTGTAAATACCTGGGGTACAATAATTCCCTGAGATGAAAAAAGATCTGAAACATTTTTTGAAACATTTTTCCTTTCTTAATTGTGTTTACCATAGTTATTTTTACTGTGGGAGATTCCAGTGTCGGGTAGAGAGCTGAACATTCAAGATCTCAGGGAA